CTGCTGAACGCTGAAGCACGGGGTCAGTGTTGAGGGCTCGTGCTTTTCCTCTATGACTGCTCTGAACAAGCTATTGAAAAGACCAAGAAGAGCTGCTGCAGGGATTTGAAGAGCTACAGAAACTGCCTCATGAAGCAGCGAAAAGTATGACTTGGATTCAGAGAGAGAAATTTGATGACACTGGGGCAGAGCCCTGTTCGATTACATTTCATTTCCAGCCTGCTACCAGAGAGGGTTCATTCTGGTGAGAGGGAGGGATGAATTGTCCAGGCTGCCTGGCTTGGGACTTCATTTTTGAGGAATTCTTCCTACCTGTTGGAATATTCTGGTGCCGCATTTTCTTCCCATGGACTTCCTGGCAGGCATTGCACTGCTCGGGGCCTGTGCCAGGGTCGGTGGTTGCAGAGCTGGCGTACGTCTGAATCCCAGAGGAAGGTGTAACCAGACGCCCATCAGGCTTTGCTGTTTAGGCATTTCTGGAGCCTCATGTCTTATTGAGAGTATCTGCTGTTATCCTTCATCGAGCCTTTGATTATACTACTACCCAACCTCACTAGTGAAGTGCTGGGTGCCCTTTTAGTCCTCAGTTTAGCCAAGGGGAAGAGTCTTCTCTTTTAACTTCGGCTGTCTTCAAGTCAGGCACCTGGTTTAAATCGATCCCAGCTCCTGCCCAGTCAGTGCAGAAAGGTGGGTTATTTATCCTGCCTTAAGACAGGGGTCTGGGACAGCTGAGGTGCCTCACCCTGGCGTTGCTTTTCTCACTCCGCTGAGAGCCTAAACGATTAGTTCAGACAAGATGCCTAACTGGGAGCTGGCTACAGTTAGAGGAGCCGACTCCCACGCGCTGCGCAGGCTTACGCAGGAGCGCGCCTTGAAGAACTCGCATTAGTGGAACGGCTCGTGTTTAGACAGGAGTGCATGCTTGAATGCTGCGATGAAATGGAGCTTTTCTAAGTGCTGTTACCACTGCATGGGAAGGTAGTGTGGCAGGTGATGGGAATTCAGCGCTCAGCTGCAGAGGAGCAGCCTATGTCCACGGAAATTTTGAGCTGTCAGTCTCATTGCCCAGCTCAGGGCATTTACACTGTTAGGCAGTAATGGATCTACACTTCTGCAGTATGATTGGCGGGTTAGAAAAACTAAAACAAATGCCTGTATCTTCTGTTCCATTACCAGAAATTACTCACAGTGGCAAGTTGTCCTCTTACACATGAAAATATTTTAGCTTACCTCAGAAATGCACTTTAACTCATGGAATCAATAATGTCTCCAGACTCGAGGGCTTGTCTCATTTATCTATTCCTTCTCCACTCCTCTTCCTCTCCGTGCAATGTTTGTATGATTTTAAACTTTGCAAGTATGTATGTTAGGTATTAATGTTTAATTCCAAAGGATGCGTTAATATTCATAGTAAGTGTATTCATCCTATGGCAGCAGTGGTTTGACTTTTCTGATGTAATTCACTGTTGTATTTTACATTTGCATTAGTGGTGGGAACTCCTGTTTGAATATCTAAAATATTGAGAGCACCAAACCACATGTGACCTCAAGCACTGAAAGGATTTCTCAAAACCCCAGTTCCTCTGTGGCAGAATACTAGTGGTTTAAGTGGTTCATAGTAATCCAGATTTTGGGATTATTAAGATCTCTGAAGGAAGGCTTGTTTTTTCCATGGGTGTATATAAAGTTAATGGTTGTTCTGGATGATGGGAGAAGTATATATGGGCCTAGAAGTGTAAAGCGTATATGGAATGGAAAAGGGAATGGAGGAGTGGGGGACAAAAAGAGAAACAAATGTTTGAACAAATTACGAGTGGCTGGTGTGGGATTAGTAATTGTATCTTTGTGTAGTGTAAATTCCCCAGTACAAAATCCAGGGAAAGTGTGCTGCAGAACTACTAGTGCTGTGTAGCAGATGCAATGGACTGCTTAAGTGAACAAAAAAAGACTCCTTCTCTTAGAGACAGAGGTTACTGTATACCACATGGTACAAGGAATATTAAGAAATGAAAGAAAACAACCTGACTAGAAGAGTGGAGTACTCTGGAAGTATGATGTTCAACTAGAAGAAGAGATCTAGAGATACAGCTTTGCGTATGCCCAAAAGAAGAGTCAAAAGGAAAACGCACAGAGGTAGTTCCGCAGCTGTCGGCCGTATGAGCTGATGTAGCATACATTTGGCGTGTTTCAAACACAGCATGATAGTAATGAAAGTAGCATGTGAGATGTACTACATTCCATGCAGGAATTAAGCCTGAGGTATGTTTTTTTGTCCTGAAGACAGAGAGGGAAGCTGATTCAGACTTTGTGATGGACTGAAAGCTGAGTGACCGTTCTTGTGATGCTGGGAGAGGTGACCAAGTCCCTGGTAAGAGACTAAGTTCTGGTTAGGATCTGGCACAAGGGAGGCAGACTTCAAATTGACCTTTCACAAGGGGACTGGGTCTTGCCAGTGCAACTGACTCATTGCTGAATGAGGCTCACTGGGTGTGTATGAGAATGCAAAAAATATTTAGAAAAATAGGATGGTTGGAAGAACAGGGCAGTCTCTTGATCTCTTTGAAGGGGACAAGGTGGAAAGAGATTTTACATTTTGGGTGATATAAAATATGGCTGAAAAAACTCCATGAATCATACTCCTGGAAAAGCTCTCTTAACTCTACTAGTTTTTATTATGATTAGGTATGCCTTCTATGGCTGCTTCTGTAGCTTTAATGGACCAACCCCCTATTCTGTTTTTTTTACAGCCAGATTACTTAGAGAGAATTTCTACCCAAATCCAATCTTCAAGGCTCAGATCTATCCTTAAATGCACATAGGTCAAAATTTTGGAGTATGCTGCAGTAACTTCTTTAATAGAAAGTAGAGTTTAGCTCCAAGTATCGTCCTCACTACCCCTGCAACTGTAGTTAGGAACCAATTAGTATTTGTACTTGTGTACTACTGTCTTGCAACGTATTGCAAAAAGTGATATTGGAATGGTTATCAATATTAACTAAGCACCAGGGAAAACATCTACAATTTCTGATAGTCTTTTCTCCATTGCCCACACCCATCAGGACCCAGAAAAATGACTGTCTCTATCATGACTCTCAGTCTTTTTCATGTATCATTTGTCCAGCAAACACTGAAGCATCTGGTTGGAAGGCTTGTTAATAGCACAACATGAAAAAAACAGGAATACTATGGTTTTCTTGTTTTGGAATATTATTTGAAAGACTGGGTGCCAAAAGGGATGGGAATTATTTACACATCTAACTTCACTTTCCCAGTTTTCCAGTTCAAGAGGAGGAAGGAAACCTCATAGGTGATGTTGTACACACTCCTCACTCAAAGGCAATTCTTTTGCAGGTGTCCAAGTTCACTTGTATTTCTGTTTCAGGGGTGGCTTGTTTCAAGGCATTCCCATTATCTTGCATGTCTCTGGCCTCACAAGACCTTGGTACAGAGGACTCCTTTTGGTTTCTTCCTCTGGACTGTGGACATTGGTTGCAAACTTGTAATGTTCCCTGTGATTTTGATTTCCCCAGCAGCTCTATATTTGCTTCAGGGCTTAGCATACTGCTCTGAGCAGTGACAGAGGTAATCGGTAGCTACCCAGCTTTCATAAAGCAAGGAATGATTTTTTTCTTTTTCTTTTTAGAAAAGCATAACATGTATTGTAAAACAACACACAGTTTATACACATCTAGCTTTTCGGACAGTTACTTTATGGAGATGTTGGTAGGAATAAAGCACTTCAGATCTTCCACTGATGCCCATTCTTCTTGCACACTACCTTATATCAGTTATCAGGTGAAATATTAATGAATATTAAATCAGGGTAGTAGGTTTTATTTCTTGTTTGTTATCCAGGCCTCTTTTATGAAGTCAGGCAGGTATTACACAATATCCAAAAAGACAGAAACTGAAAAGCTGGCTACATGCCTTGCATTTGCACTGAGAGCCTGCATGAATGATTCCCCTATTCAATTTTCATTCCTGCGGGAAAAAAACGTTCTTATCTGACCCATTTGACCAGAAATACCATCCCTTGCAAACCCAGAGAGATACACGTAACTTGTATTACATCAATACAGCAATCTTTGAATGTTCCTTGTGTCCATTTGTCAGAGGAGACGGTTTAACGCGAGAACTGGAACAGTGAAGGTTAATGTCCAAATTTTTAGACTTCTCTTTTCAGAGGTGCAATTTGTACATGCAGATATTTTTTTCACCTAAGCCTTGGTAGCTGCAAATAGATAAATGGAGGCAAAAAATATAGATGATTAGTTACTAAATTTTTTGCAGCAAAACAGGGAGATATGAATTAGCCTATGACTTGTGCCTCCATTCATTTGCAAAAATAAAAGGCTATTGGCATAGTAATTAAGTTAATTATTTTGCCCATTGGAAGAATGACAGACTCTAGCAAACGAAGCCCTAAAAGTTTTGTTCTCGCGTGCCCTGTCCACAGTTCTTAGCAAGTTTCATAATGGATTTTATCAGCATTAGTGCTACCTGTCATAACTACATAATTACAGCACCTAATTATATTATTACTTATTTACTCTAATTATGTAATTGGATGTAATTGGTGCAATTACATAACTCCTCAATCAGCTGAAAACTGCTCTAAAACCAGCCTATGTTTGTAA